GTGTTCCCATGTTCTGTTCATACAGCTGCCTCTTGGTCCAGGTGCAGATTCCTCACGAGCACAATTAAGTATTCTGGAGTACTCATACTTCGCAATGTTGTCCATAGCTTATCATGATCCAAACAATTGAAAGCCTTTGCATAGTCAATAAAGCACAGGTAAACAGCTTTCTGGTATTCTCTGCTTTCAGCCAAGATCCATCGGACATCAGCAATGATATCCCTCATTCCACATCCTCTTCTGACTCTGGCTTGAACCTCTGGAAGTTCTCTGTCAATGCATGCTTGCAGCTGTTTCTGTATTACCTTTAGTAATACTTTACTCGCATGGGATAGCAAAGATATTGTCCGACGATTTCTGCATTCCGTTGGGTCACCTCTCTTGGGAATGGGCACAAATATGGATCTCTTCCAATCAGTCAGCCTGATAGTATTCTTCCAGATTTCTTGGCAGAGATGAGTGAGTGCCTCTTGTGCCGCCTCACTTTCTTGAAAGATTTCAATTTTGTTCCATCAGTTCCCTGTGCCTTGTTAAGTTTCCCCAGCTTGAGAAATGCTGAGCATGTTCTCCCCTTTTGGTTTTCTGACTCCAGATCTTTGCGCATTTTGTTGTAATATTTCACTTTGTCTTTTTGAGCTGACCTTTGAAATTTTCTGTTAAGCTCTTGTACCGCCTCATTTCCTCCATTTGCTTTAGCATCTCTATGCTGGAGAGCAAGTTTCAGTGTCTCTTCTGATATCCATTTTGATCTTTACCTTCTTTCTTGTCTTCTTAATGACTTTTTGCTTTCTTCCTGTATGATGTTCTTGATGTCATCCCACAACTCTTTTGGTCTTCAGTCTTTAGTGTTTAATGTGTCAAATCCGTTCTTGAGATAATCTCTAAATTCAGGTGGGATATATTCAAGGTCATATTTTGGCTCTTGTGGAATTGTTTTCGTTTTCTTCAGCTTCAGTTTGAATTTGCCTATGAGCAATTGATGGTCTGATACACAGTCTGCCTCTAGCCTTGTTTTGGCTGATGATATAGAGCTTTCCCATCATCTCTTTCCACAGATGTAGCCAATTTGATTTCTATGTATTCAATCTGGGGAGGTCAATGTGTATAATTGAATGGTCTCTTATGCACTCTAAAGAAGGTATTTGAAATGAACAAATCATTGGTTTTGCATAATTCTATCAAGCTGGAGTCGGTATCATTTCTATCACCAAGGCCATATTTTCCAACTACCAGTCCTTCTTTTTTGTTCCCAACCTTTGCATTCCAATCACTAGTAATGATCACTCCATCTTGATTGCATGTTTGATCAATTTCAGATTGAAGAAGATGGTAGAATTCTTCTATTTCATCCTCACTGGCTTTAGTGGTTGGTGTGTAAATTTGAATAATAGTGGTATTAACTGGGCTTCCCTATAGGCACATGGATATTATCCTATCATAGACAGCGTTGTACCTCGTGACTGATCTGGATATGTTCTTTTTCACAGTGAATGCAACAGAATTCCTCTTCAATTTGTCATTCCCATCATAGTAAACCATGTGGTTGTCAGATTAAAAATGGCCACTACCATTACATTTCAGCTCACTAATTCCTAAGATATCGATGTTTATGTGTTCCATTTCATTTTTGACAATTTACAATTTT